AAGGATGATAAATAGGTCGTGATAATGTCAGCAAGAAGTAGAAAACAATAAACACATCTCTGCTTCTCCAATTCTAGAAAAGTCAAAATTACTAACAATAATTTATAGGTCGCATCTGTAACGCCTTCAAAGTTTCAAACGCATGCTGCAAGTGGTACGAACTCTCGCTAAGCCGGTGACGACAGTTGGACTGTGTACAATGTTGTGCGGCCAACACATTTATACTGATCCTACAATACATCGGATATTATTGTCCAAGTAACAATCTATCTACTTGTATATATTGCTGTGCCATGCGGTCGGAACATCGTAATCAAGGATACAGAGAAACCTTTTCAATACAATAGTTTGAAAATGGAGATACGTTGAATGTGAAATGTAAAACCACAGCTCGGTAGTCATTGTAGCTCTGGCTTATACTTCCGGAAAATTTATCAAACTTGTTCAAACTCACTAGTCATTGAAAATACTAGGAAGTGCAAGACAGCGCTATTGGGAACAGGTCGTATTTTGTGCGAAGTAATGTGGAAGCACCCACGTCTGCTCCCTATGAATCTAGTCGCAATCCGGTTTACATTTAAAATTTTTTGGGGCCATCTTACCACCATCAGAATGTCTCGCAAAATTGTTACCCTCATTTGCCTCGGAAACATACTATCCCATGGGTAAATGGTGAGAAAATAAACCGTCAGAACGTTTGAGTAATTTTGGAAGAAAACTAAGAAATTAAAGAAAAAAGAGAAAGCACAGAAGAGAAGAAATAAAAAAATCAGGGTCTGGGAACGTGAGCTAAAAGGTAATCCGAAAAAAACAACAAGAAAATGAACAGGTGTCACGTGATATGGAGGGAGAGAAGCAGCCTTTTAGCTAAAATGAAAGTACTGGAAATCCAGAAGTTTGCCCAGCTCTAAGTGGGCCTTAAGCAACAGAAACGAATCTTAAAATTAATGATATAACTCTTCATTATTCAGTAGGTATCTCTATCAGATTGGATATGTACATATCGATCCATGAATTTCGTGACAAATATTAAAGTACCGACATGGTGCTATATTTAAACGGATTAAAAAAATACATGTGTGAAATAACAAGGAAATAATAGTAGGAAATAAATGATAGTTTTGTTGATGAATCTGATTAATTCCAATGCCATTTTCACTAATCTTTCAATTAATGTTTGACATTCCTTTACAATTACGATCAAGAATCAAAGAGATTTTAAATTTGTACATCTCTTAAGACGAGCATATTTTGCTTAGTAAATGTGTACTGAAGAACCTTCACAAGTTTGTTTCTGTTTGTTACAAGCGGGTTCTTTATCAGGAACATTTCCATCTCTCAATAATTACGATCTTCAGATCGGAATTGAGTATTCTAGCGCATCAAAATTAAAAATAAGAATTCTAGAATACCATTCAAAATGAGTTACAGGAAAAAATATCGCCGTTGTGTTCTTGTTTCTCAGTTAGTATTAGCGATCAGCATAATGCATGATTTCTGGAAACTTGTTTCGAGAAAATTACAATCTGATAATTCTGAAGGAGGATGACAACTACTATTTCAGGGTCGAAACATTCACGTTTCTGAGTACGTGAGTGGAAAATTACGAACAGCTGACGAACGTGACTGAAGGTGGTGTCGAAATTCATACTAAAATGAATTAAATAGGTTCCGTAAATATAGTAATGTACAAAGTTTCATTTCCAAAAAGAGCTTACGTACTCTGATGAAACATAAATTGTTTGCAAATAGATCTATCAGGTGAAATGCCTTCGTTAACTGCATGGAAATAATTATTTTCATCATGATCATCCGGAAAGAGTGATTCACAACTCATTTATTCAGCGAAAACTGCTTTAAGAATGAAATTGCTACACCCAAAAGGACGACGAAAAACTAATGTAATGATACTGTTTCGTTGCTTTAAAAAAAATCCGCAGCCAATAATTGCCTTCACTGGCATGCATAAGGCACTTGTCTTACGAGAACGTTTTCAAAATGTTAACTGTTGAATGAAAAAGGAACGCGAGTTCCCAGGGATATGACAAGTCAAGCTCTCGTTTTTGTATTGAAAGTAATAAAAAAGCAAAGCACCGAAGAATGCAGATTTAGATCGCGCCAGTTTCCGTACAATCACATTCGATTTCGCCTCATCACATGCCGTTTGAAAACTGGCATTGTGTATCCCTCTGTCAACGGAGAGTCGTTTCCGGCGCATTTACAAACGCTCTGAGTTATTGCGGGTGTACCGCCTGGCATAAGTTTTGACGTCCACCCAAATACGTCAAACGAGAAAAAGAGGGCATGTGAGAAGTACGAGGCTATTCAGGATATCGGTGACTGTTACACTACTTCCTTCAATAAAGCCCTCGCAATTCTGAATGTGCGCCGAGGGAAACGGAACAGGAAGGATTTTGGGTTCGTTAAACTTTCCTTTGTGAAAAACATTTACTGTTTCTCAGGTTCAGTAGAAATGTGATCCATTAGCATTGTAATCTACAGATTTGAGTAGATTCAAACTCCAAATGTCAATATATATTTTGAAGCTGAACACAGAGTTCTGAAAGAACTAATAAATATATTGACTTGTATCTGTTTTATAGTAAGACACAATTTAATGCCAAACCAAAAAATATATTTTCAATTACTGTAAGGATAAATACATCAACGCTTGAAAATCGATACAGAACATCAAAAGCGTAAAGGTAAGGGAAGCCTTACATTACAGAACGACAAATAATGAACATGTGGGAATGAATTTCGCAGTGTCTTAAATTGTACTGAACAAAGTCCGCACTTTTAATTTCTAGGAAGCTTGTTATATTAGTTAAACGTGATTGCAGCTTGTACTAGGCACACTATTCACTTTGTAAGACTACCTAATTAAGATGTATGGAGCAGCGTTTTGCAAGGTTTGAAGAGCAGGCTGTGCAACTTCCACTGTCCACTAGTGGCAGGACACGTCTAGAAAATTACTTTTAACTTATAATATAACAACAAATTTAACCAATAACGATTCATTGTTTATCATTTAATATGACGATTTATCGTTTGTTTAATTTAACTATTTATAATTTAATAGTGAAAAGTGATCGCGAAAAGGCATAGCGAAAAGGCATAGCGAAAAGGGATAGCGAAAATCGATATCGAAAATCGATATCGAAAAGGGATATCGAAAAGGAATATCGAAAAGGAATATCGAAAAGGGATAGCGAAAAGGGATAGCGAAAAGGGATAGCGAAAAGGGATAGCGAAAAGGGATAGTGAAATGCGGTAGCGAAACGCGGTAGCGAAGTGATAGACATGAACAAAAAAGAGGGAGCAGTGAGAAGTGAGCAGATAAGAAGCCGGCTTCGTCCGAGTGCCTCCCAACGTGGCTCACCGTGCGCTGCGGCTGGAGCGTGCCGAGGCGCAGCGAGAGCCCCTCATCGAGGCGCCGCCCCCAGAAGGCACTGTGGTTGCCGGCGCGCCAGCCGATGGCGCCCGCGTCGTGGCGCGCGTTCACGCCGCGGATCACCTCGGGCTCCACCAGGCACGCGGCCGTCTCGCACAGCACCTCAGGCCCCGCGCCGCCCGCCACCGAGCATGTGCTGCGCACAAACACACACACACACACACGCACATGAGGGGGTTGTTTTCCTTCAAGAGATTAACATATACTAGCAAACAAGGTCTAGGGATAGGGTCCTTAAAACAATCTTTTCAACAAAATTAGTTTAAAAAGCCGTACAATGGTTTAAAAATAATTAACTGGGTATTTTATTACCTATTTAAAAATTTGAAATCAGATTTTTTCAATATTAAAAGTACACTTCAAATTGGCGCTTAAATGTACAAAAACGTTATTAAATCAGTTACAAAAAGTACTAATACATTAATTTGTAGTGTGTTTTTACTTGAATATTAGGCTTTCGTTTGTTTAATATTTCAAAAGGTTTAGGGCTTGTTACAGCTTGTTTGTGATTACGACATTAGTCGAATCTGAGCGAATATGTTTGTGTAGCGTGAAACACTGTTGGCACAAACACGATTTCAAACGTGTTTGAGGACGGGGCCCATTCGACAGGTTTCTCTTCTGCACTGAACTATAGCCATATCAGTAGACGTTATTAAGTTTTCTGCCCACACGTCAAATACTATTTATTTCCTTAAAAGGAAACAATACATTTAAACAAGAAGTTGCTTTTGAAAAGAAAACATAAAATAAATATTTCGGTACGTCACATAATTGACTCAAACATTTTTCCCCTTAGTAAAAATATCCTGACTTCCCCAGATCGATGTCATGACCCCCGGCGTGTGAGGGCGTGACGTGACGTCACAGATCGTGCGGCGGCCAGACGCCTCGCAGAGCGCAGGGTCCGCCTGAGGAAGGCTTCGTCATCCATCCTCCCACGCACCGCTTGCGCCTCTGCGTTTGCTCCTCCAGGGCTGCACACGCGCTGATTGTAGGGCTAATGTGCGTTGCAAACCGCCTCACGCACTGGTTACAGCTCTGCATTTACTCTTGAATAGCTGGCTGTTAGTACATTGGAATGCATGTGTGCGTCTGATTGTCGGGCCAATGTGATGATCCTGTGTTTGAATGTATTTGAACAAAGTAGTTGGGGCGTCTCCTGCGAGGGAACATTGCGGCACAGTTTCTGCAGGTCGCAAAAGTCTTCACGTCGCGTAACTCTATTTCGTATGCACGTCTATTGAAATTCACCTCCAGTAATTGGCTGGCATGGTTTCGTTCATGTGCTAAGTTTGATAGTTCAAAACGAGTTCAATAAAGTGAGGTGAAGAGGCCGTAAGCTGGAATACTATTGCTAACATTATTATTGGGCCATTTTCTTTTGTTTTTGTTTTGTTGCCATTCACATTTTATACTTCTTAAATCAAAATTTCACAATGAAAAGAATTGTAATGTGTGTTTTAGGTCATTTCCTGTTTCATTGTGAGATGTTTTCGCTTGTTGGGACGGCAATCCGTCAAGCGTCAGAACTGGGTAATTAAAAATCTCGTCAGGAATCTTGGATAAATCATGTATTGTTCTTCAATATATTTTTGTTTTGTAAACTTTTTTCTTAAACTTGTAACATTGACATTAGAAACACAGGTCTTTTGCGTTATGGTTAATATTTTTGGTAAAAGGAAATATGACCAATGATACGTTATGTTTGGTTGATTAAAAATCAAATTTCACAGTTTTTCTCGATAATTTCGTGGATAAACAAAACAGGAATACGCATTGAAGTGTATACTCACCACAAGTTACAGTTGATCTTAAAAGATTGTCCAACTCTTAAATCTCGACCTTCATGGCGACAACCTGAAAAAGAGGGCGTAGTAATAAATTGAAAAAATATTCAAGAACACCGCAGCAGGCAATTTAGAAAATTTGTTGCCTAACATTAATGAGGAAGATGACGCGAAAATGAAATATTAAACACTAAATATAAATTAATAAGGGAATTACACAGTGGGGTAGCGTTTGGGCGCGCAAGGCCCGCAATGCGGGTTGATCCAGGTAAAAGAAGGCCTATTTAGGGAATATTTGTATTATTTAAGGTACTAACGCTACTTGTAAATGAATTTTATGAATGGATTTTATATATGCATTTTATTTCGTATATATTATGTATTTGTATTATTCCATAGTTGTATTTTTACAAAGTTGAAAATAAAATCCATTCATTCACTACTTGTGTTTGCTATACACGTTTATAAAGAGGGCCTAGATAAAAGCTTTGCGGTCGGGCTCGCACTCATTACGTGACGTACTTATTACGTACGTAGTACGTAATAAATAGGTTCAAATAAATGAGAAATTGTAATTGCACATGTAATACGACTTACATCTAACAATATAATACAATAATTTTATGCAATTTTGAGTTTTTGAGCTATGATAAGGGCGTAAGTATTTGGAGCATTTTCTATCTTGCGGTCCTTTCCGGGAGGATGATCACAAAAAACATTTTTTTGAAGAACTGAATCAAATTCCCCTATATTATTCCGGTTGCACAACTGTTAGGACAGCAACAGACTACACCGAAAAATGCGTTGCGAGAAATTTGCGTCGATAAATGTGGCAAACAAGGGGCACTTATCGATCCGGACACACTTGAAATAGTTTTCTCCTTTGCCTGTGTGGAGACGAAACAGTTTTCATTCGAGTCGGTCAGAGAGTGAGTTATCTCTGACACATTTCTTCTCCTTCACTTGCCGCAGAAAAACACTAAATAGTGTTAGAGCTGAGTGAGGTTATACTATTTAGCAATAAAAGATGTGATAAACAAAGTTTTTTAATTGTTTATTTAAATTATCTTCAAACTGAAATAAACAAGAAAAATCTTGTGTGGAAGACAATCTGACGTGAATGAAACTCGTTCATAATGAGAGATACGGAACTTCAAGGGGTATTTTGAGAGAATTGAATTAATTTAATATTTTCCTTAATTCGTATTTATTATTTATGAATGAATTTATTACTTGAGCGTTTTATTATAAATTATTTGATCATTCCCCATTTATTCATAATACAAACAACATATGGTAAACCAGAGGGAATACGGCAAAATATGCACAGATTGTACTTCTTCCGTTTGCGTCACAAAAGTTCCTGACGTCCTTTTTTAAATTAAATAATGTATGTTTGTTATGTAATTTGTATGCAATGCAGTAATGACTATCTCTTTAGGTAATTCGATCTTATTAAACAGATGGTTTACGATTATGGTAATAAAACAAGGATTTCACGGGTCAAAAATATCGAAGAGCATTTAATAAAACCAGAAAAGGGACGCACAGCTTATCTCTCATCACTCTCGGCTTCTGGCACAAGAAGACATTTCGACACATCGAATAGCCCATTTCTAGTGTGTGAACGCAGCCTCACCCGGTCTCTTTGCTCGTTTTTCGTCGCACATTTCTCGCAACGCATCTCTCTGTTGCGGGCCTTTTCTGCATCGACAGGTAGTAAAATACGAAACCGTCGTGTTTATGGGGAGACCTGGCTGTAAGAGGTGGCGGAGTTTGCACGAAGCGATAGGAGACATAGAATAGTTTTGTAAACATGAGGGCGAGAGGGTGGGGGCGAGGGGCGGAGAGAGCGAGTGGGAGGGGCCGGAGAAGGAGCGGGGGTATGATGGGAGGAGGGGACGAGGGAAGGACAGATCGAGGGGGCCGGGGGAAGGTGGTGTCGAGGGGAGGAGGGGAGGATAGACGGCCGGGGGAGGATAGGGGCGCTCACCGAAGACGAGCTGCGGCGGGGGCTCCATGCCCAGGCAGTGCGCCCAGTAGTCGGGGCAGCAGTCCTCGTTGCGCGTGCGGTTGCAGAACTCGTCGCAGTAACAGAGCGTGCCGAGGATGGGCACGGAGCAGTCGTCGCGGCGGTCCCTGCAGCACTTGCGGTCCCCGCGCGAGCGCGCGCAGTAGTCCCCGCGCAGGTCGGAGTAGTCGGCGCCCTCCACCAGCGCCACGGCGGCCAGCGCTAGCAGCACCGCGCCCAGCGCCAGCCACGCCCCCCTGCCACACACATACAGCACTGTCTTCAGGAACGGATTCTAATGGTCGAGCGGCGGTAGAACGTCCGATCACCCGACCATTAGAACCAGTTAACGACTTTTTTTACCTGATTATATTGAATAAGGATTACATATTTACGAATTACGTAGGTGTTAACTTGACTCAGATTGTCTCTCTCCCATAATTACCTCCATAAGAGAAACACGTAGCACCATCCAAGCCCCCCCCCCCCAAGCACCACCCAAGAGAGTCTTCGCCGACTATTCGTCGACCGTCGTTTACCGACCGTCGGCACGATTAAAGTTAACCGTGCGGCACTATGCGCTAAAATAATTAAAAATACATTCATTTAAATTATAATAAAAAACTTATAGTTGCCTTCGTCTTGGCGTGGCGTGTGTAAAGGAAGCACTTGTACAGACTCGTGGACCTCCACCTAGCGCGCCTGCATAGTCGTTCCGCAGAACACCGCCGTCGTGCGGGTTGCATTTTCAGGCGTTCAAAGTGGATTTGGCGTTTGTGTATGAATAAATCGCGTGAAAAACAAATTGTTCATTTTAAGTACTGTGTTTTAGATATGATGCGCAGTGGACTTCACATTGGGATACTAGTCTCTAATTGTGGGTTCAAATCCTTCCAGAGTCGATAAGCTACGAAAAACCTACAGGCATATTGCGGTTATGCGATATTTACAATACCTTTGGATCGCCACTTTGTTACATAAATGAAATACTTCCTTAAGTCAAAAAGTACCAACCTGGAGAGATATTTGATTATCGTCATGGCAGCGGACATGTAATGAAAGACCTGTTTATTTAATTCTCTATTGAAACGTCTAAAATTAACGTGTACTCACACCTGGAAAAAGTAAAACCAAATCTCTCTGGAGAAACTTGCTCAGAAACATTTCAGCCAAGGAAATGGACGACTGCAACTGAAATGCAAAAACCTACCGAGGGGACGAAAACTTCGGAAATTTATTCTGGTGTAGTTACCGATCCACAGTTCTCGTTTAGAGATCTATTTTTCGTGAACATACGACAATACGCATACATTCGACGGTGATATTATGTCGGCCGAATTATTGCGATTGAATCGGCAGATCGGCATTTTACCGGAAGATTAGTCGCAGATGTGAATATTCGATCTGATTCGAGCTCACTTCATAGTGAAACTGAAAAGTTGTATACCCACGGCTCGACAAATGAAGTCATCATTCATAGATGAAATATTTCTTGGGCAGTTTTCATCCTTTAATTACGGGATTAGTATTCGTATTTATACAATGAAGATATTTAAAAGAATCTTCAGATGTAGACGTAAAATCAGAACATCTTCACAAAAACACATAAATACAAATGAAATTTGAAAAGTCTATATATGTATGCTGGCCTATGACTAATCATAACCATTCTGGCAGATTAAATAGTCATTAAAATGTTGTTCCTAAGACCGTAAGAGTCATTCTATTGTGCAGAAGCGAATGTTTACCTCAGGAGACAGACTTGTTTAATTTAAGCTGTAGGATCCGAGGCCAGAATCCAAATTGGCATAAACTTCGGGTCAGAATATTCTTTGTGTTTTCAGACTCCGTAGAAGGTCTTATGCTTCAAATTGAGAGAAAGATGTTCGAAAAACGCATAGGTATTTGGGAGGCATCAAGTATGAGAGCCGAATTAGGTCCATGGCCAAAGTTTATATGTTAATGAAAGTAATAATGAGAAACACACGTTTCAGATGATCAATTAATCTCAAAATGCTTTTGGAAAGTAAAAATACAATGCTTGTGTTTTGCAGTTTTGTTTTTTGATTGCAGATGTAAGAAAACCCTGTGTACAAAACAAAAGTAAGTAACACAGTGTTGTCTTCAGCGAGAAAGTTAGTGCAGTGTACTTGGCTGTGGGAGTGGAGAGGTGGGAAATTCCACGATTTGGCAGCGCTTTGGGTGATGCGCACCCAAGAATACGCCGATGTCATTGTAAGCGCCTGCCTGCACGACCGATTCGTGAGAACGACTCGTCACTTTTCTGAAACTTCTTTCCTTAGTGGTGAATTGAATGCAAATGATTTGATTTGGCAATTACAAGAGGTAGAAAATAATCATATTCTCATCACGTTTGAGACAAGAAATTGTTAGAATCTAAAGGACAAGATGATGTAAGTATTGTCGACATGCAATAGTGTTAGACATTGACAATGTAGGATCATGCACTGAAATATTTTATGCGTTTTTAATATCAATGTCGATATAAATGTTTCTTTTATTTTACATCAGAAAAAATTCTTGAGGCAGAGGTCAGAAAATGTAAAGTTTGACATAAAATATTTCGAAGATAGAATACTACCACCTAAAGAAATTGATGGTAATTCCAAATATATTGGCTGAGTTTTAGCGAATTATATACTGGTTTACTTATTATAAAAAAGTGTGAAAAGGGTTGGAAGAGGTGTGGGTGTATCTTGATGTACATTTTTTACTACCTGCACAGTTCAACAGAATTATAGTTTTAAGATCGATAGTTTTTATTCATTTTATGAATTTACCAAGCTGTTCGTGGTTGATTAAGGAAGCTCACGTTATGACGCAGCAAGTAATGGATTTAAAAATATTCTGATAATTGACTTAGAGAACAATGGAGGGCATGGAGATGATGCCTACGGTTTGTCTAGTAGCTGTTCGAAGAAATTTGCTTATTGATCCTCTTCGTTAGATATGAAAATGCACGCTCGCCGGCGTAGCTCTAAATCTGTCCGCCAATTTGGAAACTTTGTAATATTCCTTTCCCTTAGATTTCTGCTTCAGTAATGGAGGGCTGTAAAACATTTTGTGTACATGTTAGCGTTTCACGGTGTGACATATAGCCTGTAAGTTTTGTTTTAATGTTTCACTGAAAGAGTGTGAATTAAAAATTAATTAGAATAAAACAACTAAATGTTCTTCAAAATGTGTAGGGGACATACCCTCTGTCACCACGCTAGATATTCTCGTGGGAAGCAGTTGCCTTGAATTGATGATTTAGTGTTTGCGGGCACGTCAACGTCTTTGGTTATTCCTCCCGCGAGTATAGTCCGTGATATTCTTAGGAATGAAGCGGTTTTCCTCCCCCGATCGAACTTGAGATCCGGCACCAACTTACAAGTCTGCTTGCGATGCTTACTCTTCCAGGTAGCTCTCCCAGCGGGGCACCGCCCTATAAGCTCCCAAATAGTCTCCCGACAAGTGTGCTGTTGTAGTGCACGTCAGTGTGTGTGTGTAACTAAGGGGCGAGTATAGGCGAAGGAAGATGAAGGAAAGATCGCACGCGATCCGTGGCCCCGTGGTATGTATGGGTACTGTTCCGCCATTCTCCTGTTATCTATCGAAGAAACCACTGAAAGTTACCGATTAGCCGGAAGCCAGAATTCCGTTCCAGACTGCGAGAAGCTGAATAGGCCCTCGCGAAGCAGCTAGTGTCGAAAACCCACCACCCTCGGGAACCCTAGGCCCTCGTGGCGAGCGCTGCTGCGGAGGGCACGGCAGTGCCGCCACCGAGGGCGGTGCACATGGGTAGGGCCGCGGGCCAGCGGCGGGCGCGTGGCGGCGGGCGCGTGGCCCACGTCGCTGAAATAGCGCTGAGTCAGGGCGCCGGCGCGCGCCGTTGACACCGCCTGCCCGAGGCGGCCGCGCCGGGCCGCTCCTCGCCTCGCGACCTTCTCCTGCAGACCGAGGTTGCGGCCGGCCGCAGGTGCCAGGGCCGCGCCGGCGCCAGGCTGCCAATGAACGCTTTGCCCCCCCCCCTTCCCTCTCGCTGCACGCCTCACACATCTTCTGAAAGGCTACGTTATATTTTCATCGACGATTTGTGTACAACGAGATAATGTTCACTAACTCCATAGATTTTCATAAGGTGGACACCTTTATAAGTCGCCGATTGGATGCGCCATTTAAAGACTTTGTTCCAGGGTGGAGAGAGCGGTAATTCTTCTTCTTCTTCTTCTTCTAATAATAATAATAATAATAATAATAATAATTAATAAACAATAAATAATAATGGAAGGAGCCTGTGCAACGGCGCCGCCAGGCAGTGCGCCTCCGAGTTGAAGATAGTTTTATGCTTTGGGAAAGGGACCTTTTTGGTTCTCTTAATTATACGGTTGTGACTAGACACTTTTCTACTTATTTGTGATTATTTTTTAGTAATACTAAATTTGAAAATGTTTCAATACTTTTCTATAGAAATTGTCTTTAATATTTTAAATGATGTGAAAAATTCAATAAAAGCGTAGAAATATTTCTGAGGGGGGGGACGTGCGTTCGCTTCGCGCGACCTGTGAACCCGCCCCCCCCAGTGTACGCCTTTGTCGTGTGGCGCGGTGCGTAGATATCTCACTCTGTTGCCGAGTATTCTTCTCCAGCCAACAATCGACAGACGGCGCTTCACTGGGGATTTTTCTGGGAGCACTAATGGCCAGCAACGATGCTTTGCGGAAACGGTTCCACGGCCTCCGGCAATTATTATAACTAGTGGTGCTAAAACAGCACGTGCTCCCTTGTCCGCATTTCTTGCTCGCAAAAGCACTCAGATATTTAAAAAATTGTACCTCACCTGCAAAATCCATCTTTAAGAATCAGATTTCATGAACAAATAGGTATATCTTATCTTTAGTTGAATGAACACTCCGAAAACATTTTGAACTTTTGAAAGTTTAAAAAAATCACGAACATGAGTTCTACAACAAAATTTAATCAAAAACGATGGTACCTTTTGTTTGAAAATTTAAAAAAGTGTCCTAAAGGTTTCACGCAAAGTACCCCTCAAATTTAAAATATTGGTTTCAAAATTCAAGAGGCCACAACATCAGTCAGATCGACTGGGGAATATTAATTTGGGAGAAAATTTGCTGAACGGTTTAATTGTTGTTCCTTGTTCACAGACGGACGGACAGACAGGCGTTTCGCAGTCATTGGATTTTCCGGAATCAAGGACAAAAGACGTGATTCTACACCGAGTTTACAGGAT